CTAGCAGGGCAGCCATCATTTTGTTTGTTGAGTGAGAGGATAATAGGAAACTTTGTGCGTGGTATGGGCAAAGGCACGGTGTTCCCTCTTGAATTCTGATATTCTGGGCCACTTGCCCACCCTCTTCTCCCATCCCACCTCTAGCAGAGCCTCCTCTGGTCCCTTCTCCTGGCAGGACTGGAGGTGTCTTCTGCTGAGGTAATCCTGAAACTAGAGGTGTTTATGAGGCCTTCTTGCATGTCCAGGAGACCCCCAGCTTAGGCCGTACCCATCTTTATCCCTGCTGTGGTTTCTGCTGCTATCTGGCATCCTTCTGTGTTGACTGACTGGCTGTCATCTTCAGTGAGCTCAGTGCCTTCTCGTACAGAGAGCCATCCTAGGTTTTCCTATCCCTAGGCACCACTCCCTCCCTCCCATTCTAGTGTAGGAACATAGTGATGGAAACTACTGTAAAAGCCAGTGTCTGGGCCAGCCTGATGGCTCTGTGGATAAAGGTACTTGTTTTGTGCACCGCAGTTCAAGCTGCATTCGGGTAATAAATACCATAGTAGACGGAGAGAACCAAGTTGTTCTCTTTCCAGTACACACGTGCCTAGACTAAAACACAAAATGATAGCAACAATAATCTATGATTTTTAAGCCACTGTCTGTGCCATATTCTCACTGGCTTGGGCCTGGCCCAGAAGTGGCATTAGGTAGGGGTCTAAGAAGCTGACTGAGTTCTCTCTCCATCCAGATCTCACTAGGGGAGGGGCTCATCACTGCAGGAGCACAGCTGGTGGAACTCGACCTCAGTGACAACGCATTTGGGCCTGATGGAGTGCGAGGCTTCGAGGCCCTCCTCAAGAGCCCAGCCTGCTTCACCCTGCACGAGCTCAAGCTTAACAACTGTGGCATGGGCATTGGAGGTGGCAAGGTGGGTTGACAGCCCTGGATGATCCTCCTGCATCCACACTGGACTGTGTGCCAGCCCTTTGCCCCACCACGGGGGACTGTTGTCCCTCACTTCAGATGAGAAAGCAGTGCCTCAAAGACAGCAGCCTGCAGCCAGTGAGGAAAGGAGCCCAGAGGGTTGGGTTGCTAAGCAACCATTCCAAGTTCTTGGGTTGCCTTGGCAACACAGAGGCAGTGCTGCTGCATAACCTGCTTTGACCTGCTTGCTGTGCAGAATTCGGGCTGGGGAATATCCTTGTACCAAACCTCTTGTTACTCAGAACAGCTGGCACAGCCCTGGAGAGGAAAGAGCCCATGGAGAAAACTGTTCCTGCCGAGTTGGTTTTCTTTTATTCCTGGACAGAGCTGCTCCAGGTTCACCCTGTGGCTACTACCAGCCATACAGTGAGGGAGACTGGCCCTCTTGTTTCCCTCTCTTTTTGAGGCTCTATCAGACACAGAGCTGGGTCACAGAACACTGACGGGTGTGGGTTTATTTGTGAAGATGCTCTGTGGGCATTGCTGGTGCTACCTACATTTTTCTATTTGAGTTCACAAACATTTGGATGTATTGAATATGTTATTCACATGGCAGTGGTAGTTTGGGGAGGTATAGGGTTTGAGCCATTCTTTTTTATTTCCTTCCTTTATTGTGGCCGTGAGGATTAAACCTAGAGCCTAACACATGCTCAGCACACACTGTAGAGGTATGTCTCTACCCCACAGGCCCCATCCAGAAAGGAAAAACTAGAATGAGCTGAATTGTCCAGGTTAAGGACGAGTGATCGCCTCTGTAGAGGCTGCCCTGTTCTGCAAAGGGAGAATAGGGGCAGGTTCCAGTCCTTTCCTAGGTGCCCTCTTCCCTGTTTTAATAACTTAGAAGGAGCTTAAAGGGAGCTGTTTTTATTTGTATTTTGTTTTTGAGACAGGGTATCTTGTAGCACAGTCTTGCTTCAGACTCAGTATCTAGTTGAGCGTGACCTTGAATTTAAGTCCTTTAGCTTCTACCTCCTAAGTGCTAGGATTGCAGGCATGCTGCATGTTGCCCATTTTTTTTTGTGTGTGTTGAGGATTGAACCCATGACTTTGTGCATTCTAGGTAAATACTGTACCAACTCAGCTAATCCCCAACTAGAAAGTAGTTATATCTTCTGTTTAGCATATTTAAATGACTTACATCATCCATTTTATCACTTTGGGGCTCTTCTCCTGCCCCACTTGCTCTTTTTTTACCCCTTGTTTTGTTTTGTTGTGTTTCTCTGTGTAGCCCTGGCTGTCCTGGAACTTACTCTGTAGACCAGGCTGACCTCGAACTCACAGAGACCTGCCTGCCTCTGCCTTCTAAGTACTGGGATTAAAAGGTGTGTGCCACCACGGATGGCTGTGGCTATTCTTAGGTAAAATAAAAGTTGCTTAAGCACAACAAGTTCTGTTGGATGGTATCGAGGACCATGGTCCCATAATGTGGGAGAGATCTTGAGGTTCCGGGTGGTGGTCAAAGTCTTCTGGTTTAGTGACCATGAGAAGCGCCTACGTAGGCTGGTTGTTTTGGCACATGCTGGTAGTCTAATTACTGTGGAGGTCGAGGCAGGAGGATCACCAGCCTGGACAACATGTAAGACTGTTGGTGGATCTTGGAAGGCTGAATTAGAGCAATGTGAATTCAAGAGCAGCCTCCGCTACATAATGTGACCCTGTCTCATTAAAAGATCCTGGCTTCTCATATTCTGGAAGGTTGAACTCATGACAGTTTTAACCCAGGAAAACCCTGAAATATCTGGGAATCCACACTGCCCTTGACTTAAAATCCAGCTGCTCCCTTTGTGTCTACCTGGGGACCCCTGCATCCCAAGTGTACAAACACCAGAAAGTATAGAAGATCTACGTAAACTGTGAAGTGCTGGGCCCACTGTGCTTTAGCAGTGTCCGTCCTGGGATCCACCCTGGATCCACCACGGAGGAGGTGTGGTTCACTGGTGTGAGGGCCTGGCCAAGATCGGCACACAACTCCCATGCCTTTCCTTGTAGATCCTGGCAGCAGCTCTGACAGAGTGTCACCGCAAGTCCAGTGCCCAAGGCAAGCCCCTGGCCCTGAAAGTCTTTGTGGCTGGCAGAAACCGCCTGGAGAATGATGGAGCCACTGCATTGGCAGAAGCTTTTGGGGTGAGTCATTCATACCCTGCTGTGCCAGACACAGAGGGGTCATAACAGGTTGAGAAGCTTCTGTTTTGTTATGTTCACTTGAGATGGGGTATCTCTCTGTACTCTGTATGTAGCCCAGGCTTGCCTCCTGAGTGCTGGGGTTAATGCGCCACCACCCCTGGCTTATTTTTCAAAAATGTGTTTATTGTGAGTGTGTGTGGGTGCCCGTGCCATGGTGCAGATGTTGAGGTTAGAGGGTGACTTGGCGGAGTTGGTTCTCTCCTTCCACTTACGTGAGTTTCAGAGGTTGAACTCGGGTCTTTCCCCACTGCACCATCTCACTGGCCCCTGCAGCACTCTTTACCAACTCAGTCTTCCTGTCCCCATGTTCTGGGACACTGTGAGGACTGAATCTGCCCCAGCCAGGCCAGGAAACTTGGGTCTCCATTCCCTTCTTTCCCAACAGATAGAATTTCACCAGCACTAACCAAACTGCCCAAACAGCAGCCCTGATAACCCTGCCTAGGAGCTGCCAGTAAGGCCTCCTTATCCACCCCAGTGGGAATGGCCCTGACAGGGAGTTCTGGGCCGGAAGGGGGCTACTTGCTATCCGCAGACCCTTCCAGTGGCCTGCAGCCTTCAGTCTCAAATCTACTTAGAATGGGGTTCTTGTTCCATCCATGGTATCCCACCCCAGTCTGTGTGGTCTTTCAATAGAGATGGAAAAACTATCAGTCCTAATGTTGCTAACCAGTCTCGTTTGGACTGTGGGAAGTAGGAGCACCTTGCCATGGGTAATTCAGATCCACACGCACCTTTTGGTTGTTTTGGTTTCCTTTCTTTGGTGTGTGTGTGTGTGTGTGTGTGTGTGTGTGTGTGTGTGCGCGCACAGACTCAGGTTCAGCTCCTGGGGCGGGGTCTCATTGACTCAAGCTCAGGAATTTGGCTAGAGGGACTGATCACAAGCCCTGGGAATCTCCTGTCTCTGCCCTTCCACCACCATGGCTGACATCTTCATGTGGATCCTAGGGACTGAACTCGGTTCTTCACTTTTAATAACAAGGCAAGCACTTGACTGAGCTCACATTTGGATATTGTGGGCGCTGGGTTTTAAACCCAGACTTCATGCTCTTTAGACAGTGCTAGACCGTCTCTTTGAAGTGCTCTAGTCTGCCCGAAGACTGGGCCTCTCCTTGTAAGTTTGGGACTAACGAGGTACTGTCTCAGTGACAGGACCAACTGGGGCTCTGAGGACACAGGCTTCCTGTCCTGGTTGGGAGGATCCAGTCTTCCCAGGTGTGCAAGTTTTTATTACTAGCTTGATACAACCTTAGAAAAATTACATGGGAAGAGAGTTTTATTATGTGTAAATCTATATGTGGGTTTGTGCATATGAGTGCAGGCACCCACAGAGGCCAGAGGCATTGGCTTACCCCGTCTTTGGAGTTACAGACAGTTGTGAGCTACCCAACATGGATGCTAAAAACTGAACTGAGGTCCTCTCCAAGAGCTGTCTGTGTGTGTAACCACTGAGCTATTTCTCCAGTCCCTGAAAAGAGGGTCTTTATTTTTATTTTGTGTTAGTGTTTCAGCTGCATGTGTGTGTTTGTGCCACTAGTACCCAGTGAGGCCTGACTGTGGATGCTGAGAACCAGACCTGGGCCGTTTCTCCAGCCCCAGGCAAGAGAGTCTTAGTGGAGTTAGTCTAGATCAGGTTGGCCTGTGGACATGTCTGTGTGGGTCTGAATGTGGGCAGCACCGTTTACAGGCTGTGTCCTGGACTGTGAGTGAAGAGAAGCTGAACAAGAACAAGCAGTGAGGGTGTTTGCTCTCTCCTAACTGTGGAGGCAATGCAGCAGGCACGCTCGCTCTTCAACAATGACTCAGAACTGTAAACCAAAATAGAGTAAAAACCTCCCTTTCCCACACTTGAATCTTTCCCGTTCAGGCTGCATGGTGCCGGGCTGGGGACAGTGCTATGCCATGAGCAAAGGCTATCCTATCCAGACAAGTTGTCTTCCATTTGCCTTGGCGCTTCTTCCTACAACTCTGCCTTCTTTCCTAATTGAGAAAGAAGGGTGTTTGAAGATGATGGAGCTAGTACTGGGAACTAAGAACAATAGGGATATTGAGTATTTGTTTGGACTTAATAGACCTCAGTACCTTCCTTTAAAAACATGCTTTAAAAAAGCCCCTTCAGCCCTGCAGTGGTGACTTCTCTGTGGCTCTAATGTGATCTGACATGACTATGTCCAAACCTTTGCTTTAAGATCTGTACCCTGGGAACCCAGACAGCCCTTGCCTGATGCTGGTGGCATCTCCCTTACTACTCTGCTATGTGTCACAATGGCATCGGTCCACACTGCTAACTCTCTTCTTCCCGGCAGATCATCGGGACTCTGGAAGAAGTTCACATGCCACAGAATGGAATTAACCACCCTGGGGTCACAGCCCTGGCCCAGGCCTTCTCCATCAACCCCCTGCTGCGAGTCATCAACCTGAATGACAACACCTTCACTGAAAAGGGTGCAGTGGCCATGGCTGAGGTGAGGCGAGTGTGGCAGGGGTCATGTGGGCCTCAGGAGGCTCATTGGCAAGCATGGCTCTGCTCCTACCCTTCTGCCCTCTCATGTTCAAATACCCCACAGCCCCTCCCATTTGCATAGAGCAAGATTGTGTGTTACAAGTCCCTGCTGAGTGACCTCTGGGTCCTCAGGAGCCGGTGCTGGTTCTGTTCAAGCTGCAAAGGAAGAAGTTGTTTGGCCCTATCTGTTTCATTTTTGGTGCATTCAGTGCTTGCATGTTGAGCCCTTTGTCTGTGCCCAGTTTGCGCCAGGTGGAGCTTTGGCAGGCAGGGTCCCTACTTCAGGGAGATTCTTCCATAAAGAAAAGAGCTGCTAACCAGTTTTTTGTAGGCTATGAGCACAGAGCTATGGTCTCTGGGTTGGTGGGGCCCATGGAGTTGCATCACAGATGCAGGTGTTGGCATCAGTGAAAGGTCAAATTGGACTTTAGGCTGGCTCCTGTGGTACCTTGCTTTTTCTGGCTAAGCTGACAAGCGGTGGGGGTGAGTGGTTCCGGCACAGTGATTAACAGAATGAGCGGTCTGCAGACTAACGGGAGCCTTCCTCAGCTGGTCCTAATGTGAAATAAACGAGGCCCAAAGGGTGTTGGGAATAATGAAGGGGAAGGGATTTGAGACCCTGTAGTGTTGGCAGCTCTGTAAGTAGGAACCATGGAAGATGTTAAGCCCTGATAGGGTGCAATTCAATTTGATTGATGCTCCGGGAAGAAATCTGTCCATAACACGGGAGTAGTGTGGTGCGTGGTTAGATGGTCAGACCCGTGGACGACTGATAGCGCCACCTCAGTTAGACCCTGGCTTCGTCCTGTCAGACCCTGAAGATCTTGCGGCAAGTGGAGGTGATCAATTTCGGGGACTGTCTCGTGCGCTCTAAGGGAGCCGTTGCCATTGCAGATGCTGTCCGTGGGGGCCTGCCCAAGCTGAAGGTACCAACTTCTCCCCTGCCCTCTTCCTTTCAGGGTCTAGGCTGCCCCGTGCCAAGGGTTTCCCTAGGGTGGTAGGATCTGAGGCATAAGGGGTTTGGTGTGAAGGAAGGTGGGCTGGGCCAGGTCTCAGTCGTTTCCCTTTTGTGTAAACACCTCAGGTGCTTTGCCCTGGGTTCATAATATCGTTTTTATTTTTCTTCATACCCCTATGCCCAAGCTGGGAGGCCAAGCCTGCTTCTACTGCTCGTGGGGCAGCTAGAGAGAGTAAGGCTTGTTTCCTCGATCAGGCATGGTATGCCTCTCTACCCCTTTCTCTAGGAACTGAACCTGTCGTTTTGTGAAATCAAGAGAGATGCTTCCCTGGTTGTTGCTGAGGCTGTGGCTGATAAGGCTGAGCTAGAAAAGCTGGACCTCAATGGTAAGTAGGCTGCGGTGGTGGGCGGTCAGCCTCGGCTCAGCTGGCCCCAGCACTGTCCCCCCTGACTTTGCTCTCCTTCCCGGATCAGGCAATGCGCTCGGAGAGGAGGGCTGTGAGCAACTTCAGGAAGTGCTGGACAGCTTCAATATGGCCAAGGTGCTGGCATCCCTCAGGTAGGGAGCTCTGGGAAGGTGGCTCCAGGAACCAGGGGTCAGGTTTGCTCTTCACTTCCTTCCACTTAGTTTCTCTGTCTGCTAGTCTGGTAGCTGGCGCCTTGGGCTAGGTGTTGGGAGGAAATGAGGAAGGGCTTTTGTGTGTTCAGCAAAGGACCACAGGGGTTAAGGAGGACCCCCTTACATCATCATCTCTCCCAGGAGAGGAATTACAGGCAGCTGTGAGCCACTGTGTGGGTGCTGAAATTGAACTTCAGAATTCTGCAAGAGCAACCACTGCTCTTAACCACTTGGGCATCTCTCTAGCCCCACTCGCCGTTTTTTTTTGTTTTTTTGAGACAGGGTTTCGCTCTGTGACCCTACCTCTGCCTTTCAGTCTTTGGGATTAAAGACGTGTGTGGTCACTCCCAGAAGCAGCACATGGAGGTGTGGGAGGCTCAGGCACTGAAGGGGATGGCTTCAGTTCTCAGTGGCTGATAGGAGTAGAAGCGGTTGAGCCAAGGGGGAGATGCTGAGGTGGGCAGCAGTGGGGTGACATTTTCGCAGCACCATCTCCTGTGCCTCTGTCACAGGCTTCATTCACGTGTCAGATACTTCGGTGTTTTCAGGACTGGGGACTCAAGTGCAGACCAGATCTCCAGAGAGCTAGAATGTCATACCATCCTGTGGTCACATGAGATGCACATGGCAGGACCCCAGAACCTGAGGCTTTGGGACAGAGACCATTTGATTGTTCTGTGTCTGTTGCATGGGAAGCATCCCTTGGGAATGAAAAGCAAGTGACACTCTGGTGGTCCTTGAGTGCCATCCTATGAGCAGTGCTCTTGGGCCTGGCCAGAGTCCATAGGCTCCAAATCCGCATGGGCTGCTGGACTCTAGCTGGCTTCTCTCTGCAGTGATGATGAGGGAGAGGATGAGGAGGAGGAAGATGAGGAGGGAGAAGAGGATGATGATGAGGAGGAGGATGAAGACGAGGACGAAGAGGAGGAGGAAGATGAAGAGGAAGAGCCGCAGCAGCGAGGGCAAGGAGAGGAGTCAGCTACACCCTCACGGAAGATTACAGACCCTAACAGTGGGGTGAGTTTGTTGCTGGGCACTCTGGGCCCCTGAAAGCCTGTTGGGATATAGCTATTTAAAAGTCTAATAGCTACAAGCACCAAATGGATAGCACAGTTCTCAGAAAATCGTTCCAGGGGCGAGATCTTTTTGTATATGTCTGAGTGTTTTACCAGAATGCAAGTGTACATGTGTGCTGTGTTTACAACACATGGTACTTTGCATAGATTTATTTATTGAATACAAAAAAGCATAGCTGAACATGACTCATGCCTGTAATCCCAGCACTTTGAAGAATGATGCAGGAGGATTGCTGAAAAGTTTTGGGCTACATAGTACAAAGTCTTTTCTCCTCTCCACCACTAGATTATCTTGGTGGCTTCTGTACCGAGTCCTCTCTTTCCCTACAGCCAGCTCCCAAATAATGACATGGGGACTTAATTATAAGAGCATGCTCTTAGCTTAGGCTTGTTTTTAACTAGCTTTTATAACTTAAATTAACCCACTTCTATTAATCTGTGCTTTGTCATGTATGGCCACCCTGCTTCCCTGTGTCTACTGGTGTCTCGCATGCCTAGATTCATCTCTTTCCCTCTCCCCAGAAATCCCACCTATACCTCCTCCCTAGCTATTGGTTGTTCAGGTTTTTATACACTAATCTCAGCAAATATACCTTCCCACGGTGTATAAATATCCTGCAACCGCCTCCTAGGGACAGTCTAGAGATTGTCACTGAGGTTGAGAGAGACTTGAGTTTCTTGCCCTAGCCCACTGGTGATTTGTTTGTATCTTATAGGTTCCAAAATAAAATTCCCAGAGAGTCTGGGTGGAGCCATCTGACTGCCCATACCCCTGCAGATCAGGGCTGCTTTTCTGGCTCTGGGAGCAGTTAACTGACAAAGTGCCTCTCAGGGTTGGGTTTCCCTGGGCATCTGGTATTTGTTGACAGCACTGACCCAGGCACTGGCCTTATTCACATAGCAAAGCTCCACCTGGAGTGCTAAGGCGACAGTATCTTGTCCCTTACCCCAGGAACATCTGGATCAGCACCTGTAGAAGCCATATGCTTAGGGTCCTGTGAGGGAGAGCTAAGTCTAGACCTGGCTAGAGAAATGGTGTTATTGGAGTGGGAATGGGCACACCAGGGTGGAGGAATCTACAGAGCCCGTGTCACCTGTTTCTCAGGAGCCAGCTCCCGTGCTGTCCTCCCCGCCTCCCACAGACCTCTCCACCTTCCTGTCATTCCCCTCCCCAGAGAAGCTGCTGCGCCTTGGTCCCAAGGTCTCCGTGCTGATAGTCCAGCAGGTAAGAGCTCTCCCAGCTCCAGGACCTCTGCATCCCTTTCTTAGATTTGTCAGTGAAGGATCCCTGCCATGTCCCAGCAGAAACTAGAGTTAGTTAGGGAATCTGACTTTTTTTTTTCCAGTCTCACACTTGTGTATGCCTTCATTATGTTCCACGGGCTTCTGCTTGTCTAGCTCTTTCTAGAGCACATCCCCTTTCCCGGGCATCTGTGTAGCTCATGAGATTGTCATTCAGGGAAGAGTAGCCCCTGACATTGTACTTCTCCATGTCACCCGAAAGGGGACCACGTATGTCCTCCTAGTTGTTAAAAGCATTACATTTTGTCAGACATAGTCGCACACACCTGTAAGTTCAGCCTTGGGAGGCAGGTGGTCTTCTGTGAGTTCAGCACCAGCTGGAGATACATAGTGGGACCCTGTCAATAAATTTTTTAAAACCCATTTTATTTTGTATGTCTGTGGAGGTCAGAGAACAGCTTACAGAAGTTGGTTATCTCCTACCAAAGGATCAGATTCAGGTGTTCAGGCATGGTGGCAAGTTCCCTTATCTGTTGAACTGTCTTGCCAGTCCACTCTTACAGTATACCGAAGAAAATTGA